AAATCTTGCAAGACTTCGCACTAAAAATTTTGGAAGTTCTCATACTGTGGCAGCCCAGTTCAAGCCAATTCCCTGAAACTGCCTCAAATCACATTGTTGTTACCCTCTCCCCCAAATTTTATAAAACTAAATAGAAATACCCGAGTGGGCAACACAAACTATAATGAAAGGATGCATTATTTGGTGTCATGCGTTTAAATCGTCAGGTCATCCTGTTTTAGTTTTTAAAATACATTTTGGTTGGCATTGTCTACCTTCCTAATGAGAGTAACCCTAATGTTCACTTGTTCTCTGTTACAGGGGACAATAGATGTGTCTCTTCAAACGCAGCTTCCTGTGCCAGCTGCCTTGAGCTGGGTCCCGAATGTGGGTGGTGTGTTCAAGAGGTGAGCTTTTGTTTTTCTTTCTTTTTTAACTCCAAAAGGTATTTTATATACACAGGAGTGTTTTAAAGCCATTTAAAACCCATCTATCTTCAGCATTATTTCATTACTCTAATAGTTTGTGCCTTCACTGGGCGACAAGTAAAAGAAACAATAATGCTGAGCATTAGGAAAAATTATTTGATTTTATGCTGTTGGAAACCAAGTATCTGGCTGAATATAAAATTAAATATAGCTTTTTATTGGGAAAACTATAATAATTTTGAAATGAAGTGCAAACCTTTTTATGTTTTCCATCTGTTCTATAGAGGAAACTGGCAAATACAGATAGTAACTTTTGATAGTTCAGCAAGCTTTGGTACCAAATTCATGCTGCAGCTTGAGGTATAAGGTTTTACCTAAGTTAGGTTATTCTCTTGTGTTTGCTTATTAAAGAAAATTAAGCTATTTTATTGGCCCATTTCATTTGTCTTTATTTGAAGTATATCAGTTTGTTGGTTACTTATGGAAAATGTGCTGCTTTTCTTTCGACTCATGACCTTATTTATGAACGATTGTGTACTTTTTTAATTCCATTGAATGAAGAATAATCTAGAAAATGTTTATTGCTTAACATTAGTGTCATTCTGTTCTACCAAGAGAAATAAATCCTCATGACAAAATTCTTAGCATAACAAGTACACTGCATTTGCTATTTCTTGGCTCTAAATTTGTTTTGCTGGTTTTTCTTTGGTTGATACTTTTCAAGCAGAATTACCTATACATAAAAAGTTGTATGAAAAAGACCTTCTACTAATTTGGGGATTTTTTTTTTCTCTGATGAAATTGCCCAAGTGATTTCATAGTTATTTATGTAGCTTCAAGGAGCTGGAACCCATAAGCATTTAAGCATCTTTTGCTTTATATGGAGATAAATCTCTAGCATTTGTCTCCTCTGATTTAGCTCAGCAATTATATTCACCATCATCTCTCCACCCTTAGTTGTCATTGCTTGTCCTGGGACATCCCCCAGAGGGAAAGGAAAACAGAAAAGCAGCCAAAGAGGGCAGGTGCTGGCATCACTTCCTGCTGTGAACCAAGTCAGAGTAGAGGGGGGCAAGGGCACACAAAGGGCCAGTCACCCTTCCTTGCCAACACCAGGAAGCTCCTTTGTTATATTCTGGGCTCTACTAGTGAAGATACAGTGTCCCTCACACACTAGGAAGTGATTCATTACAATTGCTGGAGACAGGCAATGAAGACCACTGAGAGGCCACGCCCAGAATGTCTAGGTCCCAGCCAGTCGCTTCTGATAAGCCAAGCACAAGACAGAACTCGTCCCTTTGCGGAGCCTCCCTGCTATGTGATCTCAACCTTGGAATTTACTCGTAGGTTTCTCATTATCAACAATGTCTTATGGCTTGGTATTTCCCAACTCTAAGCCAGTACTCCATTTTAAATTGTTAGTGTTTCTCCAAGAAAGACCCTTAGTAAGGAGCTCTGAATTCAGAACCAATGTGACTTAGGCTAGGAAGTGCTTAAGGGAGGGTAGTTTGGAAGATCTTTGAAGCAGTGCTTCAGCAGCCCAGCTTTCAGTTGTTTTCATGGCAGATTTCAGAGGGACACCTGCTTCGTCTCACAACTCTGAATGGCACAAAAGTCAGCAAAGTCACAGCTGTGGGAAAAGCAGTCAGTTCTAGCATAGAGGGAGGGATTTGGGTTCTTCAGAAAGATGAGTAGTCAGATGGAAGAACATAAGGCCAAGGGGCAGGAAGGCGACTGCTCAAGGGAAGGAGGCAAATCTGTGTTCTCTGTTGGCAAATGCTTTAGATGGGGGAGGTCTCAAAAGGCACCTTCAGAAAGTCACTTGATTGTGCTTTTCCCTAAATATTATACACAGTGCAATATAATTTATTTAATATACTCAAAAACCAGATTCTAAAGAGACTGAATTCTAATCCTAATTCAACCAGTCTTTAACCGTGTGATCTTGGACATGTTACTCAATCACTCTGAACCTCAGTTTTCCTACCTCTGAAATAGAAACACTAGTTTTACCTTCTTTGCACTGTTGTGAAGATCTAATTAAACAATATGAGAGAAACAAATAGCACATAGGCATTGCTTAAGCTATGCGAGGTGCACGGGGGATATAGCTCAGTGGTACAGTGCCTGCCTGGCAAGTGCAAGGCCATGAGTTTGACTCCTAGTAC